AACATCCAGAGGAAGGATTGCTACTGATCAGTGCTGCTGATATCAGGGATAATAGGTAAATAAGGAAAGTGCAAGGAATTCATGCAAGAAGTGTAAAGATTGCTGCTGTTGATTTCAGGGATAATTGACAAGGAATGCTAAGGCTACAGTAAGTTGTTGATGGCTTTCTATTAAGCTAATGTAGCCCTGTTGTGGGATCAGCTCCTTTAAGAGAAAAGATATTGCAGCTGCAGGTGGAGCCGGAGAGCACAGCTTTGTGGGGATTGTGGACACAGCTGAGGAGGAATGATAAACGAAAATGGACACTTGAACTACGGTTCCCAGAGTGCTACAGGGGAGAAGGGAAGTGAACTCTGGGGAAAGAGGTTGCTGGCCTCAGTCTGGTGTGAGGAGACAGAGAAGGCAGACTGCTGTGGCTGGTGCTGTGCAGCCAGCTTGTGGAGAGACTGTGCTCACTTGTCACAGGTGCAGTCCTGAAGTGACATCTGCTACACAGAGTAAATCACTGTTTGTTCCTGCCTGGAAGAGGTTCCTCTGAGGCTGTGGGTGAGGTGCCATCCTGCTGAGAGGACATTGCGGGCGGCGACTCTGCCCAGACAGACGCCAAATCTGACAACCAGAACCCTTGATGACATCAGACTTCGGCTCCTACATACAGTTCTTCATCACAGAAGATAATTGCTGACATCCCTGCCGGCTACAGACGTACATCTCCCTCCGTGTATGGGTGAGAGGCCTCCGGCCTGTTATTAACAGTACACACAGATATTCACCGTTTGTATTGGGCCCCAACGTTGGCTAGCTGAAGAAACTACCACTGGCCAGTGGGTTAGGTACCCGGGTACATTGGGACTAAATATATATATATACAGTTTGATTACATTAATTGCTTGTGGTGTGTCAAAGAGGTGAAACAGAAGACCCGATCATTCAGCGGCTCCTTCGGGGGTGAACGCTACACTAAGTATAACTTTTCAAGTAAAGATGTAGGAAAAAGTTAGCAATAATAAGGTACAGTAACCCACAGTAACTTGAAATGTGTCTAATCTCAGTGGGATGGATGCTAGTTCCTAAGACAACCTGCTGTAAATACATTTTCAGTTATCACCCCAATCATCCCTATAGTCTAGGAAAAGTTCAGTGCAGGTTGTGGTTCTGGAAAATGGAAATCCACTAGTGAAGAATTCTTCTAGTGAAAAATGTATAAGCAAAGACTTGGCACTATCCCTATTGCTATAGGTGTACTCATTGGCTCTCAAACTGATTTTGAAGAGGGTGAACTCACTGGTTCTCCAACACAGTTTGAAGTAGGGGAGTATGCTCAGTATAAGAAATTAACATGTATGTATAGGGTGGAAGGTCACAGAAATACCACAACAGTGGCTATAGAATACCCAAGGTCACATTTGCTGGCAATTGACCATGCAACCCTAGTTAGAACTGTCTTGCCGCTAGCCACCTTACCTTAAGGGCTAGGCCCTGGTGTGGAGCTCTACAGAGACCACAAAAGATGAAGTACCTTTAATGACCTTCCATCATTCATCAAACATCTAATGGCCCCAAACATTTAGGTACCCGGTTTGACTCCCAGCCATTTAATCGACCCCTTGGATAGTCCCATTGAAACTTATATTGACCACTTTGGATAATCCTGCTGTTGAACAAGCAAAAGTCTAAATCTGCAACTGGTGAACCCTACTCTATTTAAAGCTGTTGTCCAGGCAAAACAAAGAAAAAAGCCTCTAGTTCTGCAGGGAGTGCCTACATCACATAGGGTGCCCTGCAGACTTGTCCTCTATGAAGAATTGGGGCGCTGGGAGATAACGCCACTGACACTTCAGAAATGAATTTCTATGGACAAAAGAGATAAGTTTAAAAAAAACACGTGAGGCTGAATAGGGATGGGGCTACCTCCTTTTTAAATATTTAGGGGGTTATTCACTAAAGAGCCGAAGGATCCAGTCATAGCTTCGGCTGATCCTTTCGGCTCTCCTCGGCCGCCTCTGCCTTTCGGTTCAGTCAAACTGAAGAGCTGCTGTACGGATTATTCACAATAGCCCTTATGGCAGCCCAGTGGCTCAGCCGAGCCGAAGGCATATGAAGTGACAGCCGGAGCGTGGAGAAAGGTCGGCTGAAGCCAACCGATCTCCATGCAAATGATAGCTGGGCGTAGCCAGCCGTGATCTCATGGCTGGCTCCGCCCAGTTGTAATGACAGATCAGTGTCCCAAAATGACCTGGGGACGCTGATCTGTCATTAAACAATAACAACTGGGCGAAGCCAGCCGTGACATCAGAGATGGCTCCGCCCAGTTGTTATTCATTGGCCGGGACCCGCTAGAAGACTCTGGCAGGTGTCGGCCAAAAGGAAACTGTTGGGTGGAGCTGGCTCCGCCCAACTGTTTTTCTTTTGCCGGCATTTTTTACAATTATTTTTAATTTCCTTTTTTTTTTCTTTAAACTGTTTGAATTTTTTTTTATTTTCCTATTTTCTTACATTTTAAAATCATTTTTCAACCTTTTTTTCTTTTTCTTTTTTATCCATATCACTTATTTTCTATTCTGTTCGGTACCTTGGAGGTACCGAGCAGAATAGCTGAGCCGAATGCCGAGGGAGATGTCAGATATTGGATCGGCTGATTCGAACTCCTTCGAAGGCAGACGATGTATGGCTGATTTTAGCCGATGTAAGAAATCAGCTGTACACACCAGAAGTGAATAGCCGAACAGCGTTCGGCTCAATTATTCACTTGGCTGCCTTCAGCAGCTTTGTGGATAACCCCTTTAGACTTGCATAGAGAAGAGCTTTAACTATTTGTTTCTGATCTGAGTTTAGCTTAAACATGGAAAGGATTGTTTAGCCTATAACCACTTCAGGACCACCATATGTATAAACAGCACTGTCCTGAAGTGGTTATACCAAGATCACAGCCATGCTGCAGCAGCCATGATCTTGATACAGATTTTTACAGCTGGTGAAGGCTGTCACATACCAGGGTTTTGGCAGCTATAGAGCCACCTGATCATTTGTATTCAGCTGGTGAGGGTGAACCCCCCTTTCCTCCACTGTAGCTAGCTATCCAAGGCTCAGCTGTCCCCCGTACGGGCCTATGACTGGCACAGCAGGTCTCTGCACCTGGAACTGAGGGAGATTAACACACTTACAGAGGATGATCTCCCCTCTGATAACTGATACTGGAAGCAACTTGTATTTCATCAGTTCCGGTTTCAGACTCTCATTTCTCTGGTTGCAGTAGGAGTCTAATAGCCCCCTGATATCTCCAGGAAGAGCAGGAACTATATGCAATATATGCTAGCAATAAAGTGTAAGCCCCTTGCCTCTATGTACATGCTCACAGTTAATTCTAAACTGATGAACGGTAAAGGCTTTTAAAGCATTGCATATGGGAAATTTAGGGTATTGTAATTTTTTATGATTTCAATTGCTTGGGGGTTTTAATCTGTTTTCTAGCCACACATTCAGATATTATCGTGTGTGCAAAATTAAAGAAATTGCTCCGGGAAGTGGTTAAAGTAGGTTTGATCTCACACCAGGTTTTTTCAAAGGTTCTCATAGGGAGCTGGTGTTACCATAGTGAAGGCAAAGAATCAAATATTTTCTTACGCCACCAAATCTAAAAAAAAAAGATTTTATGTAGACTTTCACTTTGAATTGTAGCTCTTGTCAAGTCATAATATTTTAAAAAGAAAATTGAATTTTTAACAGATTGGATGACCGTAAAGCTGACCATACATTGCTCAAATTTCAGCAGGACTCAGATGACACTTGTGCTGTGTATTTCCAGCTTTACAGTCACCCTAATCTGTTAAAGATTCCCTTTTCTTTGAGCCCTGTGAGTATCGCATACCCAGTGTTGTCAGAACACAATAGCCTGGCAGGGGGTTCCCCCATCCACGCTGGATCGAGCGTTTGACTGGTGCATGGCCAGTTTAACTACAATACACTGCAATGGCTATGTTAAAATGTTATCACATGTTTAGTTTTAGTTTTACTTCTTACATCGGTCTGCCTGGGGCAAACAGATAAGCTGATAAAGAATTATGTGATGTTTTCATTTTTAAAGATACTAATATATCCTTTATGGAGTTCATTGCTTGTAAAAAAAAATAAAGTGAATTCATCTACTGCATGTGATGGATCTGCTCTGTGGATGGATCCACACCTAACAAAGCAAATCTATTCCAGAAATATGTGTGCATTGCATACTCTGAGTGTCTGACCGAACCCATGTATATTTAAGAGTTGTACAGCCTTTGGTATAACCCAGTCTCTGATAGCTTACTGTCTATGCAAGCCTCTAAAAGTGGCAGTTGAGCATTGAGCTCAGCAATATGGCGCTTTCCAGACCTGTGTGTACTGAGTCAGCTGAGCTGCAAAGCAGTCTCCAGTTCCAGAGCAGTGGTACAGCTTCTGGTGTTACTCAGTAAGTTTACATCCTATGTAAGTACGCCTGATATGTGGCACTTGAGCACTGAACTTTGCATTACAGCGCTTACAATCCTGTATATACAGTACTTAGTTATAAAAGAACTCTTGAGTTTTAGAGCAGTGGTTCAGTTTCCAGTGTAACCCAGTCTCTGCTGCCTTTCAGGGTATGTAAACCTCCAGATGTAAACCTCTTTTGCCAAAAATCCCTACCTTCCAAAAAAAATTTTTCTCACTTCTACTTTATTGGCGTCATACTCTTTTGCTGCCTTTGTCTTGTGGTTGTCTGGTGAGTGCACAGCCACAAATTCCTAAAGCTGACCATATATGTGGCAATCAAATAAGAGCCTGCAATAAGCAGTAGGAATCCTGATCTTTAAACAACTGTCCATATACAGTACAAGTTACTGACAAATCATCACAGAACTGAAACGGACTGATGTGCCATGCACCTTCAAATTTATAAAAAGTCAAACATTCTATCTGAGGTCACACATTTACCGTAAGAAAATACAGTCATAAGATAAATAAGCAAAATGATTTTATTACGTTGCTACAGTAAATTGGTTACTAAAATGTTAATTGTCTACATTTCTCATTATTTTGTTTGTTGAGCTTATTTTCAAGACCAGCTTCTTCAATTAAAAATACATTACAATACTTTATTCAATTACAAAAGGTTTCCCTTTAGGACATAAGTTATAATAACTACAGCTGAAAAGTCTAGTGCAATAAAAAGAACAAATATAAAAAATGTGTATTAAAAAGGAACTATAGATGAGTGTCAGCTATGGGAATTCTCCGGAGTTCCACAATCTGTGAATTTGCCATACCGCTTCCATCTTGACTTCCATGGCAGGACTCAGTGTCACTGACGTTCATACCTGACCCTGAAAACAATAGGTCAAACATTAGTGAGTTATCTAAGTAAACAAAGATAGCATACCATTTCATTCTGCTTTCTTAAAGTGTACCTGTGCCTAAGAATGATAAAGTGTTAACATATTTTTTTTAAAGAAGTCTCTATACACATTTGTTCCTGGTTCCCATAGTGCATGTAGCACTTTGTCCCGTCTTTGTCCCTTATCTCAATGCTGAGCAGCAGTGACAACAGCAGGCCCCCCTTCCTCCTCTGCTTTCCAACCATGCTTCTAGTAATGAAATTAATATGTAATTAGCTATGATTGACCACTTATCTTGGGTAGCAGGTGCTTCCCAGAGACAAGTGGCATCACTTGCTATGTAGGCAGAGGGGGTGTGCCAGCTATAGTGCCAGTAACAGGTGCGCACTCACAGCAGAGCTCAGTGCCATTAGTTCTGACACAGGCGGAGAGAGGGGTGTCAAAACAAGGCCCCTGTTCTGAATGAATGAAAAGCACAGACCGCAGCACAGGAAACAGGCGCCTCATTCTGATTTACATAGTATGTCATTCTTCAATTGTTGTGAAAATATGTGTGAAAAATAAAGATGTGTGACCTTTCTTCATGACTTACACTCTGCTCAGGAGCTCAGTTCAGATTGTAATCCCAGAGAAGGGGGGCGGTGGTGGTAATAAATGTGAGTAATGCCCAGAAAGCAGAAGCCATTCAAGAAAGATCCGATTTTACACTAAAATACATTGATGGATGGTTGCAGAGACAAAGCTAGGTATCTGTACATGCATTAATGCATCAATATTGTATTTGACTAATCATGAGAATTCTTCTCTAACAAGCAGTAAAAGAAATATAAACAAGCTATCTTTGACCTTTCCTTTCTAGCTGCTTGTACTGTGAAGTAATTCAATAGGAAATATCACAACACAGACTCTAAAGTTGTGTTTCAGTCATTTTCTAACAGATTAGAAACATCTCCTGGTTGTATTCATCAGAGGGCTGGCATCCTGCCAAGATTCTGCTGTAGTAAATGTTGCAGACACATCTCTCCACAATGCCTACAGATACAAAAGTGAATGGGGGCTTGTTGTAAAGTGCTTTACTGCATGCTCAGAATATGTAAATACTTTAGTATGTAGCTCTAGACACAGGTGCACTTAAAACAGTTAATATTCAGCACTTTAAGCTGGCCATACACCTATAGACTATCTGCAGATTTTCTATGGTCAGAGGGAAAAAGCGCAACAGATTCCTCCATCTACGCTAAACTGTGTGGATGGAGGAATCTCCGGCTGAGCCAAGCTTCAGAATCGTGCTAGTCGGCGCCGCTGGCTCCCAAAATACCAACAATGCCTGCATCCAATCAGATTGTTCAGGTATTTTGAGAGCCAGCGGGGCCGACTAGCAAGATTCTGAGATGGAGGAATCTGTTGCACTTTTTCCCTCTGACCATAGAAACTCTGCAGATAACCTCTAGGCGTATGGCCAGCTTTAGAATATACATTTTGATGGTGGGTAAGAAAGGCTTTCAAAGTAACTACAACTTGGACTTTATAAACCTTGCCAGTCCTTAGATGTGGTGGCTTTATAACTTTCCCTTTTTCTGGTGAACCTACCAGTAACACATGTCCTGTCCCAGTGTGAAAACACCCGCACATTGTACTGTATCTGTAGAGGAGCAGCGTTGTCTCCCTAGGACAGGGGTCGGGTCTACAGAACACCTCCCCCTCTCCTCTTCTCCATGACACAGGAAAGATGTATTGTAGCCCTAACACACTTTCTAATAACACAGGACATCACTTAATTTTTGGCAGGATCAGCACAGGACTTATTGAACAGATACCTGTATATCAAAATGCTTTTAAAAGTTAAGTAAAGAATGCATACAAAGTTATACTCACCCGATTCTCAAAGTTGGCAGTTGGCTGCTCTTAGACTGGTCCCTGCAGCCTCTCTCCTCATCCGGTCCAGTGATAACATTCTCATGTCCAATATGCAGTATATTGGCCATGATTACTCACAGGACCTTAGAATGCTGGAGCAGAGGGGGAGAGAGGCTGGAAGCACTGGCCTAACAGCCACCCAGCCACCCCCGAGGATTGGGTGAGTATAACTTTTATTTTTGCACCTAGATGAAAATGAGCACTTATCCCTTGAGGTCTGAGGGTAGCCCCACTGCAAGGATTATGAAACTTTTTTCCCTGGAGTTCTTTAAAGTGAAACTGAAGCCCACACTTTTTTGTTTTGTTTTGGATAGAGTGGAGAGGGTTCAGACCAGTTCTGTTTTGGGGAAGCACTGATACCAGTCTTTCAGTATCAAATACGAGAACTGATATTTGTTTTTTTCAGTATTCGCCGATACTGAATACCGGAAGTCCCATTAAGGAAGCCAGGCGGATTGTAATGACTTGCCACCCGGCTTCCTGATTAGCCGGAAGGCCGTCTCCATGCTCCCTCGTCACCAGGATTGGCCAGCTTCCCAGCTAATCAGGAAGATAGGCGACAAGTCAGTACACGCCATCCAGCTTCCTAATTGGCCAGGAAGCCGGCTCCATGCTCCCTCGTCACCAAGTACATGACAGAATTCTAAATAGCGTTGTTGACACTCTATGCATTTTCCCCAATGTGTTAAAGAGTTACAGTGGTAGCTCGGTTCATGAACTTAATTTGTTCCACGATTCTGGTTGCGAACAAAATTGGTTGCAAACTGAATCAAATTTCCCCATAAGGTTCAATGTAAATAAGGTCAATCCGTTCTAACACTTACGAGCGTGGCCGCAAACTGATTTTGGTTGCGAACAGAACCAAATTTTCCCACAAAGTTCAATGTAAATAAGGTTAACCCGTTCTGAACCATATGTAAATCTTTTCTTGTCACCTTCATTACCACACTGCACTTTCTTTTTACCACCATGCTTGCTCTGCACTTTCTTTGGAGCCATGCTGGATTGAATAATATTGTACAGTACTGTGCTAATAAGCACACAAAAAAGCTTCACAGCAAGTGTGCACAGGTCTGTCTGCGATCTCGACTAGAGGAAGCCACGACCACGCGTCAGAGCGGGAAAGATAGCCTCGGTCGTGTTCGTCACCTGATTTGCAGTTCGCGTACAGAAGCAAAATTTTGCTGAACTTCCTGTTTGCGAACCGAATTGTTCGTGAACAGAAGCGTTCGTGAACTGAGGTATTATTGTATATATAATGAGAGATTGGTTCATGTATTTACTGCATATGCCTGTCTAAGCAAATGTCTCTATTTCTTTCCACAGATCGTATCCAGCTCATTAGTAAGTTAAATGCTTGAAAAGAGCCAAACTGAACCCAAAATTGGACAATTTAATCTGAAGGTGTAAACATTGCTTACTCCTGTCTGGTCATTTGGTTTGGTTTTTCTGTTAGTGGTTCTGCCAAACTACGGTCTGGTCTGAATTACAAGTACGGCTTTCTACTAAAGGAAACATCTACAGCATCTGAATCCCATAAGAGAACTTTGTGTGCAGAAATTCGGATCTGATGAAATTTTACTCTGCGGACTCACACAGACACTTCCTTAATTATAACTGTACATACAGCAACTAAATTCATAAACTAAGCAAAATTTCCATCATGTCATTCCAAACGGCTGTGATTTTCTGACAGAAGCACAAAAGTCAGCCGTTCATTTCTTAATTCTCAAGTGGCTCTCAGGGTAAGCAGCTGAAGCCTTGCTACTTGAACTTGTATTTGATTATAGGCTGTACCAGGCCATGAAGGGATTATTATTATTAGTCAAGCAAATAAAATGATTATGTAACCTGGAGGGTCAATGGCTGTCCTCTAGTATGATGTAAGCCCGGTGTAACATATCAGTAGAGGACTGAATTGAACTAAATAGCTTATTGTATAGTGAGTCACTACATTCTGTATTACCTGTGGCTGTCATAAGACAACCAGTGTTCTCTAACCAGCACAAAATGATTTTATTTGGTATTAATATACAGGAAAGTTGTACAAATGTGAGATAACTGAAAAGATTTAGCTAAATATTAGATGTCAGCAGCTCTCTTTAAACCTATGCTCTGCACACACAGCAGACTTAGGGTGGAATCCCAGGCAGAGGCATTTTTTAGATTTCTGGGGTGTAAACAAAATAATGAGGTGCATGCCACCTCAGGATTGCATATCTGTTCTACAAAATGTATAGATTCATTCACACCAGATAACACAGCCCTTGCTATACTTCCTGCCCGCTGTGGACATGGAAGCACTAGTGTCATTTATCCGCCCCACTCTTCCGTTGGCCATTCACAGAACACCTTAAGGAGAATGTTTCAAAACTGGAGCAGACAAAATCTGGAGCAGCTGTGCATGGCAACCAATCAGCTTCTATCTTTCATTTTCAAATCTTAACTGAACAAACTGAACAGAGAAGCTGATTGGTTACTACGGACAATTACTCCAGATTCAGCTTCACAGCAAGTGTGCACAGGTCTGTCTGCGATCTCGACTAGAGGAAGCCACGACCACGCGTCAGAGCGGGAAAGATAGCCTCGGTCGTGTTCGTCACCTGATTTGCAGTTCGCGTACAGAAGCAAAATTTTGCTGAACTTCCTGTTTGCGAACCGAATTGTTCGTGAACAGAAGCGTTCGTGAACTGAGGTATTATTGTATATATAATGAGAGATTGGTTCATGTATTTACTGCATATGCCTGTCTAAGCAAATGTCTCTATTTCTTTCCACAGATCGTATCCAGCTCATTAGTAAGTTAAATGCTTGAAAAGAGCCAAACTGAACCCAAAATTGGACAATTTAATCTGAAGGTGTAAACATTGCTTACTCCTGTCTGGTCATTTGGTTTGGTTTTTCTGTTAGTGGTTCTGCCAAACTACGGTCTGGTCTGAATTACAAGTACGGCTTTCTACTAAAGGAAACATCTACAGCATCTGAATCCCATAAGAGAACTTTGTGTGCAGAAATTCGGATCTGATGAAATTTTACTCTGCGGACTCACACAGACACTTCCTTAATTATAA